GAACTGTACATGTATAAATAATCACGGTGTGAATGTAACAATTAAACAGCATTTGGATTCTTTTGCAACTTGCCAACTAGTTTGATAGAATTGCGCCGCGATATATGTTCCTGTCTACAGAATTGCCTATACATGCACCATTACAACTCGGTCAGAAACATTGGTGTTAGTAGCCAAAAAAGGTTTTATTAGCTGTGTGAGGAGCTTTAGAAATTCGATAAAAATTCGAAGACTCGAGCGAGTTTCACAATTCCATGCGCTAAAAAAAATTTAGTTCAACCCCCCGCCCCCCTGCACATATACGCTTGCTCGCTTCAGGCTCGCTCGCTCCGCAGGAATCACCTCTGCTCTCGTTTAATAATTATGATGTCATGGGACCTCTGGGAAAACTTAATTATGTCATATAGTTCCCCTGGTAAAGTTTTACTCCGGGTCCTGCACAACCTCCCAGTGGTGCCACAAAATCAATTGCAAGTTCTAAAAAACCTTTATGATTTCAATAATGCGTCATTTTACACATCAACCTATCAAGTAATACAAGCATAAAAGTATAAATGATATTACACTTATTCAAACAGGACATTTTTATTATTAGTCAGGCCAGGTGTGATTATTGATTCTTTAACCTAACTATTTTTTGTCACACAACTAATGAGCAATGCCACTTCTCCAACAATACTATTCCTTTCTTGAATTTTTCATTAATTAAACTCTTAATTATAATGCAACATGCCAAGCTGTTTACTGTTCCAGAATAAAGAACTGTATAATTTTAACTTCAGACTGATTTTTTCATTGTTTCTGGAAGTATCGGCATAATAAAAAGATTATCATATGTACAGTCCCAGGCGTTATCTGAAAGAAATGTAAAACTAAAGTTATAAAATAGTTAACCATTAAACACAGACTGGTATACTGCTACAGGCTTTTGCTCAATTGCTACAACAGTACAGGCCTTCCTTATTGAGAAAAATATATTTATTGTATCATTGCCGTATGAAGAATAATATTTGGTCCTAAATTCCCTATGTATGATAGATTCATAATAAGTAATGTAATACTAGCTATAGGTATGATCAGCTCACAGAATGCTACAGAATTTCTGAAAATCTAGTGCTGCATTTTTATGGGATACACAATATGTTACGTGGTATTCCAACTAGGCTACTATTAGGATGGAAATTCTGAGCCGAAGGTTCAAAATTTAACCTTAAACAAAATAAAATTGTGCCATGAACAATTAACAATTAATAATTGTAACAAATTAAATGCAAATTAAACCAAGGCAGTGTGCAACAAGTAACGTTCTAATTTTGCTCAAGAATACAGGCAACCTCGTACCCAGGGCCTTTGCGCGGTTCAGAGGCTCTGGTACGGGAAGCAAAGGCCCTGGTAAACACTGGTCACGTGTGTCCAAAAATATTGGACATTTTTGTAACCTGGCCTTATTAAGGTCATGTTATCCCGGGGGGATGAACAACTGAAGACTGAACATTGCAATGCACAAACTATAAAAGTTTCAAATACAAATGATTTTGCCTTTGATTTTTAAAATATGAATGTATACTCAATTGTTTGAAAATTCATATTTTAAAACAACAGGCAGCAGATTTTAGGCTTGTTTTTATTTGGATGGAAATTATAAACTTTGAAGTCACATGGATTTTGAATGCTATAAAGAATGCAGTATATTCGAGGTAATTAACGATTTTATGATGCATATATAAAATTATATTTTCATATTTTAATATTTATCAATTTATATATCCTAAATTCCAGCAGATTCGTGGCTGTCTGTTCGTATAATTAGTTTTCTTCGTTTAATTACTCCTCCATCTTTCGCTTTCGGATATAAACCCTCCTTCATGCCTGATATATTTTTTGGTTATCTCCATCCTTCACTTAGTTCACTAAAATCAAAATTTTCTGTTCCAGCTTGCTCAGAAAATATTCAGTCTTTCATAATTGGAGTTCTCTTTGACATGTAAAATAGTCAGGCAGTACCCTCAGTAAAATACTTATTTAATTAACTGGCTGACCATGCATTACAGTAGTCAAAAGTTAATAAATAAATACATGCAAAAATTACAAATTAACTGCCCTCGTATCAATCCATTGGTCTCTGACTAATCCAATAAATACTTAACAGAATAGTACAATACTTAACAGAATAGTACGATGATAATAGAAAAGTGTGAAAATGCCAACGTTACCTAACTTTGTGTGACAAGAAAGTTAGATTACATTAATTTTACAGTCAGGTATTCTTTTCTTTATCGCCTCAATACTCTGGTTGATGATTCCAATGGCCCCCATAAATTTCCAATGGCCCCCATAAATTTTACTGGAGAAAATGTTTCCCCCACCTCTTGCCATTAAATCTCCATAGCCCCCAATTTTACCCATCCAAGGGAGAGTCTTGCATGGTCACACTACAGTAATGGGAATATGGGCTAATCAAATATGGCATACTTTGTTATTTTTCTCCGCCCAACACCAGACCATTTTACTTGTCAAGTGTAAGATTAAGTGAGTAACAAAAAGTTGTTGGATATTCTAACTTTTGCTCCATATAACTAGACTGTGGTTGTGAGCAAAATGTAAAAAGACAATTACCAGTAATACTGGCATTACTACATCCCTATTATCTACCTTGCAACCTTGAGCGGTTGTGCTGTTATACTAATACAGCAGAATGTGGTTTCAAATGACAGTTATTTTATGGCAATTATGATATTCCAGTGTGCCAGTAAGACATTTGTTGTTTGTTTCTCTTTTAGTATTGTATCGAAAAGATGATTGCAGGGTATTCAGATCCTGGAGTCATGTGAAATGGCCCTGACCTTGGGCATTAAGTAATATATGAGTGGTGTAAAATAGGAAATTTTTTATTCATTCTGATTGACTAATAAAATTAGAATGGTGAGAATAATGATGATGATGGTAGTGAAATACAAGTTGTGATCATGATATTGGTGATGCACAAGTTGTAATCATATGATACTGCTGATAATGAAAATATATTGTATTTGTACATACCAATTGTAATGAGACATAAAGAATAAAGAGATTGGCAGTAATGAATGTGTATGACTTGATCAATTGTGCTGGTGAGATTGAGAAGGCAATATATTGCCACCTAGCCGGAATTAAGTCCCATGCCATTTTGTGTTCAAAACTGTTCTCATCAGCTCCAAGCATAACTGGGAAAGCTGGTTTCAATCCCATTAGCTGATCTTGAAACTATGTGCACACATATAAATATTTATTTTTTCCCCTCATGAATTATATTGTTTGCCCAAAAAATCGGTTGATTATTTCATCTAGAAACAGTATGAATGTTGTTTGAATTTGGTATGTTCACCCTGTGACAAGTGAAAGTGATATGTAATTCATGCATAATATGGTGATTTATGGTTTCAGGATGTAAAAAATGAAATTTAGTTACTGATAAAATTCAGTGTAACCATATTCATTAAGCCTCTGTGTCTCTTATTAAAGCCCTACCTCCTCAATACAAATAAAACTCTGCATAGCCGGATAGGACTGAATAGGTTTTTCATTTTACTGACAAAAGTATGATGTATCAAACCACCCAATTTTTTAGACCAGCTGTGAATAATAATACTTCAATTAAACCCAAAAGAATTTTTGTGGGAAGAAGTAATACCATCATTATGGAAGTTATGTAGGCTGAAGTATTTAAAATGTAATTGTCGGTTTTAAACCAAAGCCCAAGATATTTGAAAACAAAGTATGATATGTCAGTCAGAGTCTCGGTGCTCAACTATCGGTGTATTATTTGTAAAAAGTGTTGGTAGTCACAATGGTGACAATAACATTTGTGTGGTTAATCTAGTTGAAGCAGAGAATTTAATTGATCTCCTGATAAAAGGCATGTTCTCTTGGGGTTGTAGCAAAGGTCTTTCATGAATTCTAAGACAGCCTATAAGATGCAACTGACAAATGAAGTATTTCAGAAAAATATTTACCCTAAAATTATTAGTGACTTGTGCCGTGACTAATATTATGTTACAGCTTTGGTTCAAATTTCATAAATCATGAACCGATGTACAGTAACTACAAATGTAAACAAATAGGTGAACGCACACCCAGTTTACAGACTATTATTTGCCTTTAAGACTCCTAAGTCACATATATCACTGATATAAGATTCGTAGTAAATTTGTTGTTTCAAGATCACAGTATATTATTTCTCATGATTCAGGATTGGTACACCCCACCCCCTCCATTCCCCCCTAGCTCTTCCAGACAAACAGAAATATATATCCAAAAAAATAAATATGAAATTAACTCACACACACAAAGGTTTCAAGATACTGTGTATAATTTTATTCACAACTGTATTTTAAACTACATACATAGGGAAACCAATGTTGATATTTGGTTTTGAGCCCGCAGTCGGGAGTCCTAGCGGGCGCGCATGCGTAAGTTGTTGTTCTTAAAAAGCATGGCGTGAAGGCCGCCTTTTAGTATTAAACTAGAACTTAATTGAGCTTAATACAGACTTGTAATCCTTTTAACATGGTGGCAGCGATATATTCTTAAAGATCCTTAGAATTTTGTGAGTATCTATATTTATTTAAATGGAAATGGCACAATTTCATCTACCTTCATCGCTCGATCTGACAGACCGTAATCTGGCAGATAGCTTTAAGAAATGGAAACGTCAGTTACAAGTTTATATGGAAGCTAGTGGGAATAATAACAAGCCGAAGCAGCGACAAACGGCTATTATATTACACTGTGCAGGCCCGCAAGTCCTTGAGGTTTATGATCATTTTGAATTTGAAGGAGAAAATGACAAAAATGATCCTGTTAAAGTGCTCGAAAAACTAGAGGAATATTGAAATCCACGGCAAAATGAAGTTCTGCAATCCTTTCGCTTTTGGCAAGTACCCTTCCAAGAACCTTTTGACACATTCCTAACAAAGTTGTACTCTTACGCTGATTCATGCAATTTCAAGGAAAAAGAAAGAATGATACGAGACAAGATAGTCTTCACTGTAACCGGTAAGCAACAAGAACTGTTATTACGAGAGACTACTTTAGACTTAAAGAAAGCTGTAGAAATATGCAGAGCCTATGAGATCACCTGGAGAAATAAAAAGGAAATGAGTGAAAGCAGTCAACTACAGAAGATTGAGCAGATAGCTGGCAAGAAAAGCTCAAAGTCTCCATCAAAACAACATCCTGAACAACAAAAGAACAGGAATAACCCTCACATCCTGAAGGAGTGCAATTTTTGTGGAAAGTCTCATGAAGCCATTAAGACAAAGTGTCCCGCCTGGGGAAAACTCTGTAACCATTGTAAAGGCAGAAACCATTTTGAAGTCAAGTGCAAGAAGGTACACACACTAGAGACAAAGAGCAACTCTGATGAATCTGATGACTCCGATACCAACTGGCTTGCAACTGTGGAAGTTCCCAACAAAACCCGTGCCACTGCTCTGATGCAAGTAAATGACTGTGACGTCAGATTTCAGCTTGACACTGGAGCCGATGTGAACACACTGTGCCAAAAGTTTGTACGACCAACACATGTGGAACCCACCACACAGAAATTAATCATGTGGAACAAGTCCAAGGTCAACCCATTGGGAGAAACTACCTTGAAGATCACGAACCCAAAGAATGAAGAAGAAACCGTGGTCGATTTTATTGTTGTCCCAAACGATTATAGCTGTCTTCTGGGACTGTCAACTATACAACAAATGGGACTACTTACAATCAATGATGGCAACTTCATAGCCCATATAAGCACTGACGCTAATCAGTTAGGATCGTTGGGAGAAACACAACTACATGTTGATCCAAATGTCCCACCAAGAGCACTTCCATGTAGGAAACTGCCACTAGCATTGCAAGAGAATGTTAAGGAGGAACTTAACCACTTAGTTGAAGCTGGCGTACTGGTGCCTGTGGAAGAACCAACTGCTTGGGTAAGCCAAATGGCAGTTGTAAAGAAACCAAACGGATCTTTGAGAATCTGTATTGACCCACAACCATTAAATGCAGCCCTGCAAAGAGAGCACTACAAGCTACCAACACTAGATGATGTTCTACCTAGTTTCAGCCAAGCACGAGTATTTAGCAAACTCGACGTGAAACAAGCCTACTGGCATGTCCAACTGGACAATGAATCTAGCTTACTCACCACCATGATTACACCATTTGGACGATACAGATGGGCCCGGCTCCCATTTGGGCTCAAGGTCAGCAGTGAGATATTTCAAAGAAAGCTCAATGAGGCACTTGTTGGTCTCAATGGTGTGATATGCATTGCAGATGATCTGGTTGTGTATGGGAGTGGCAACACAAGAGAAGAAGCTGATGCTGATCATGAGCAGAACCTCCTGGCACTGCAAGAAAGATGCGCAAAAAAGAGAGTCAAGCTGAATGATGAGAAAACTGTCCTGAAGCAGACAGAAATCAAGTTTATGGGCCATCTTATCACCAATGAAGGAATAAAAGCAGACAAGTCAAAGGTAGAGGCTATCCTTGACATGCCGGCCCCCACAGATGTACATGGAGTGAAGCGGCTATGTGGAATGATTCAGTATCTGGCCAAGTTTCTGCCCAACCTTGCTGGTGATTTGCAACCCATTCGAGAGCTGACCAAGAAGGATGTGGAGTGGAACTGGTCAACAGAGTGTCAAGAAGCATTCCAGAAGGTCAAGGAGCTACTATTGCAAGTAGACAGCAGTAAAGACGGACTCGGAGCAGCACTGATGCAAGATGGCAAACCAATTGAATACGCCTCAAGAGCACTGACTCCTGCTGAACGGAATTGGGCACAAATTGAAAAAGAAACCCTAGCTGTGGTGTTCGGTCTTGAAAGATTTGACCAATATACATATGGAAGAAAAGTCATAGTACAGAATGACCACAAGCCTCTGACCTCAATCCTGAAGAAACCTCTGAGCCAGACCCCAAAACGACTACAAGCACTGATGCTACGAGTTCATCGCTATGACATTGAATTTCACTACATTCAAGGAAGTAAACTTGTTATTGCCGACACCCTCAGCTGAGCTTTTCTTGATGTTCCTGACGCACAGGTGAGAGTCATGAAAGTAAACGCTTTGAAAGGAGTGCCAGATGAGCGAATCCGGGAGGTACAAGCAGCTACCGCACAGGACCAATGTATGCAGTCCCTGTTGAGCACTATAAAAGATGGTTGGCCAGAAAGCAAGAAGGACGTACAAAATGATCTGAGGCCATATTTTGATATGCGAAACACATTGAGCCATCAAAATGGAATTATCCTAAAGGGAGAAAGAATAGTTATCCCAGCATCGCTCCGTGACACCACAAAGAAACGATTGCACTCTGCACATTTGGGGTACGATAGTATGATGAGACGAGCTCGAGACACCATATTTTGGCCCGGAATGGCAAAAGAAGTACGACAGCTAGCAGATAACTTTGAGGCTTGCCAGCAATACAAACCACAAAACCAGAAAGAGCCATTAAAACAGTATGAGGAAGGACAAGTACCTTGGAATAAGGTTGAAATTGACCTTTTCGAGATCAAAGGAAGAGATTATCTAGCCACGGTTGACTATTTTTCGGGTTTCATAGAAGTTGACCACCTAAGCACTGCCACAAGTAAACAGATAATCACCAAACTCAAAGGACATTTTGCAAGATATGGCATACCAAGTGAAATGGTAACTGATTGTGGTTCACAATTTATTTCCTCCGAGTTCAAGACCTTCACCAAACACTGGGGAATTAAGCATGTAACATCGTCACCCCTCCATCACCAATCGAATGGAAAAGCGGAAGCTGCGGTTAAAACTATAAAGCTAATGATGAAGAAGTCACTGCGGGACAACACTGATCAATATGAGGCTTTACTTGAACTGAGAAACACGCCACGCCATGGTACTGGACAAAGTCCAGCTAAAATGATGTTTGGTCGAGCAACACAATCATTCCTACCAGCCATATCGAACACAAAATCAGAACGGGCGAGAAATGCAACACAGAAGAGAGCCAGACACCGCCTTCTGGTTAAGCAAAGTTATGACAAAGGCGCTCGAGACCTGAAACAACTGTCACCTGGTCAGCCGGTGTACTACCAACACACAGAAGGAAAGAAGTATGACTGGAGAAGAGGAAAAGTACGTGCCAAACATAGTGAACGATCGTATATCATTGGGGGAAAGAATGGTGTATATAGAAGAAACCGAGTTCATATACGCCCCACGACAAGTGAAGTCAACAAAGATAACAGTAAAGACAACAAGGGTGAAGCAGAGGTACAAGCAAGACCACAACGAGCAAGACAAAAGCCCCACTGGATGAAAGACTATACAGTATGTTAAAGTTTTATTACTATATTAATGATTGAGATAGACATTAGATATATACTGTAGGTATTCGGAACTTATTCGGACACGATACAGAAACTTACAGTAATCTGCAGTCTAGCATCAAAGGAACTATCACAGTACATTCACTTTTAGTGGTTATATATATATATATATATGCCTTTTTGTAAAAATAGGGAGATGTTGATATTTGGTTTTGAGCCCGCAGTCGGGAGTCCTAGCGGGCGCGTATGCGTAAGTTGTTGTTCTTAAAAAGCATGGCGTGAAGGCCGCCTTTTAGTATTAAACTAGAACTTAATTGAGCTTAATACAGACTTGTAGTCCTTTTAACAACCAACCTGTCACTCGATCAGTTAATTGTTTCAAAATATTCTGCTTTGATAACTACATGTTTAATACACATGAAGAATTTCGTTTCCATAGATGTACCCTCTGATTTATCCTTCCATAAAAGTACAATAAAATTCCAAGTGATATTCTTTGGTCAATACATAAAAAATTACTTATAATCAACAATGTTTATTTAATTCTTTATAAAACGTCGCACACAAGCAGCTGCATTGGATACAAAATAGACAGTTTAAAGACAGATCACTCGATTAGTTTTCTCTCAGTTTGATCTTCGTCCTTCGATCTTTCATCTTTGATCAGTATTAGCGTTAGCTATTCCACAATTTGTTGAAAGAAAGCTCGTAGAATGCATGGATAATATATACCCACTCTTAAATCTCACTAGGAAAGTTTTATTTATCATAGTAATATAAAAACTCGAAAACGTCGCGCCTTCGCGCTGCCATCCCTTGCGAAAATAACTATATTATATTGCTATTTTAAAACTATTATTTTTATTACTATCATCCCTATTTTTATGCGATTTTATTCAGAGGCAACCCTATTTTAATTCTATCATAATATTTCACCAAAAGAAAGAGCCATATTTTATTAATGTTTTATTTTATTTTATTCCTATTTTTATAGATAATAGAAATAAAATCGCATATTTTAATACTATTTTCCAGAGCCTCAGGGAAAAAATAGGTTTAAAATAGCCTATTTAAATTCTATTTTACTTCACTAGAAAGCAGTTAGAAATTAAAATAGATATAAAATATACTATTTTTAAACTCATAAAATAAAATTGGCTGTTTAAATCCTATTTTACATTGGAAGTTAAATGCACAAATTTCAAACAGGAATAAAATATACTATTTTAATCCTATCTTTCCTTCATAGTTAGCAAAATAACAATAAAATAGACTATTTTAAACATATTTTGCACGTGCAGAATATTACATAAATTAAAATAGATATAAAATATACTATTTTTAAACTCATAAAATAAAATTGGCTGTTTAAATCCTATTTTACATTGGAAGTTAAATGCACAAATTTCAAACAGGAATAAAATATACTATTTTAATCCTATCTTTCTTTCATAGTTAGCAAAATAACAATAAAATAGACTATTTTAAACATATTTTGCACGTGCAGAATATTACATAAATTAAAATAGATATAAAATATAGTATTTTAAAGCTATTTATTTTTCAGAATACGCAAACCAGAATAAAATAGACTGTTTTAAACCTATTGCACATTTTTAAAACTGCCACATTTTTCAAATAGGGATAAAATATACTATTTTAAACCTATTTACTTTCCCTAATTTGCAAAATATAATAAAATACACTATTTTAATCCTATTTTACATTTACAGGAATTCAGGATTACAATTTGCAGATATGTATAAAATAGTCTATTTAAATTAAGACATTCTGAATTTTCCTACTTAGCAAAATGAAATAAAATAGAACCGTATTTTATAGTTACACAGATAAGGGACCAATCATTAATAATGGAAGGGGGGGTGAGGGGCGGAGGGTGAGAAAAGGGGGAGGCTTCAACTGTTGCCTACACTGGTCATCCCATGCAGTGCTTCCACTTGCAAGGACATTTCTTTGCAAAAAGAAATAAAATTTACTAGGAAACGGCAAGGAATTTTGTTTTCAGCAAGGAAATAAGGATA